TCAAAAAAAAAAAAAAGAAAGTTCTTATTGACTGAGCATGGTGGCTCATGCCCGTAGTTAGCACTTTAGGAGGTTGAGGAGAGAAGATTGCTTGAGGCCAGGAGTTTGAGACTAGCCTGGGAGACATAGCAAGATGCCATCTCTACAAAATAAAAAAATAAAAAAAAATCCATGCCTGGCTGTGAGCGCCTGTGGTCTCAGGTACTTAGGAGGCTCAGGTGGGAGGGTTGCTAGCCCGGGAATTTGAGGCTGTAGTGGGTTATGATTACACCACTGCACTCCAGCCTGGGTGACAGAGTGAGCCTGTGAAAAAAAAAAAAAAAAAAAAAGGACTTGTATGTAATGTGATAAACTGATATGATTTGTACTTCCCTCTCTGTCTCAAAATTATTCCCTAACATTCCCTTCTTTTATATTTTCCTTGTCACAGTTAGTCATTAATTCATCTGAAGTCCACCTTTGTTTAAGTGTTAGGTAGACATGAAGTTTTGTTACTCCAAAAGCAAGCTGGTTCTTCCAGGATCATCAAAGAGTTAGCCTCTCCCTCATTGACTTGTTGAGCCCACTTGAATGTATATTAAATTCCGGTTTGGCTAACACGGCGAAACCCCATCTCTACTAAAAATACAAAATTAGACGGGTGTGGTGGTACATGCTTGTAGTCCTAGCTACTTGGGAGGCTGAGGCAGGAGAATAGCTTGAACCTGAGAGGTGGAGGTTGCTGTGAGCTGAGATTGCACCATTGCACTCCAGCCTGGAAAACAAGAGCAAAACTCTGTCTCAAAAATAATAACAATTCAGTAAACACAGAGGTCTCTCTTTCAACTCTTTATTCTGGTCGATGACTCTATGTGTCTATTCATGGTAATTTCTAAGTGTTTTCATTACTGTTACTTTGTTTAAATATCTGGTAGGGCAAGTTCTCTTTTGTTTTTCATTTTCCAACCTGGGTTAGCTACTTGTGGCATTTTCTTCTATATAATGTTGAAACCTGATGTAATACATTGAAAGTACATTAAACAAATACAGAGTTGTGTAGCACATTACCATGTAACCACCATCCAAATAAAGAGATGGAACACTGCAGGTACCTTAGAAGCCTCCTTGTGACTCTTTTTTTTTTTTTTTTTTCCCACATGGAGTTTCACTCTTGTTGTCCAAGCTGGAGTGTGATGACGTGATCCTGGCACACTGCAACATTCGCCTCTTGGGTTCAAGTGATTCTCCTGCTGCAGCCTCCCGAGTAGCTGGGACTACAGGGGCATTCCACCATGTCTGACTGATTTTTGTATTCTCAGTAGAGGATTAAACTATCCTTTTGTTTTTAAAACTATCATTTTGTTTTTAAAATGTTAGTAGCGGTGGAGTTTCACTATGTTTGTCAAGC